GCCAACTATTACTTCAACAGAATTGCTGGAGGAGGAGCTAAATTGGACAACACAAGAGCCAGAATGTCCCTGGAAGCATCTGCCAAAATGAGAACAGATACTGGAATTCCAGGTTTTTCAAAAATTTCAATCAACTTTTTCATTAGTCTATACTGATTGACTATAACATATGTCATCCATACAGGATTGTATTTGACTGGGGAGGACACAGTTGCAAATTCAGTGGACCTCAGCAGCTCAAGCGGAGTTATCACTGCATCTGAAATTCTGGGTAGGAATCTTGTTCTTGAAGCTCTATTTTGGCAAACTGTTGGGAATCTGAAGAAATATGTGTTTGGCTCAAACACCATATATTATTAAAATGCTTTTTTACATGCAGATTTGGATTTCATTGCATATAATTCCCAGGAACATATTACCATGCCTCAAGTTTTGCCTCAATAAATCCGATACTCAGTTTAATTTCTGTAATTTGCTTACAAATTTAAACTGAAGTGAAGTAAGTTGAAAAACTGAAAAAAACTTTTCCAGTTTTGGGCATTTGACTGTTATAATTGACCTATTTTCAGCTCATCATTTACTTCAGACTTTCATTCCACATGCATAACCATAAACCATGTACAGTAAACAATCCATAAGCAATACATTGTATGAGAGTCAATAAAAATGTTCTCTAAATGGCTGCTTCTGCTCAAGTTGTTGTTCATCATTTCCCTTATTGTAAGAGTTTCATTGAAAACAGTTTTATTCATGTCACAGACTTAACTCATAAATAACATTGCAATGAAATACAGCAGTTCTGCAATTGAGATAAGTCTCATTGTTGAAGTCATACATTTTGAGGTAAGGTAAATGGGAACACAGACAATCAGCTGTTAGGTGGCTAGATCCTCCTTATTGTAGTTCCTCAAAGCCTTAGTTTATTGAACCAATATAAACAGGAGAGTGTGGACACAAATGCAGCAATCCGAACCTAGCAGAATCTTTCAAATCTCCACTTATGGAAAATACAATCCATACAAATGCACAATAGTCACACACACTAATGAAAGAATCCTCAGGTCCTTCCTCTGATGGCAGGTGAGAGCTTCAAGTGAAGTCTTCCTGCCAGTCTTTATTCTTCCTTCTTTTGTTTCTATCTTGTCACACCATGGTTTGCTGTATTGCAGTAAACTGATCATGTGGCAGAACTTCCACTAATACCCTCACATCTGCTGTCACAGCATGCTTGGGTTGTGCCCTCTGGCAAATTCATTTGCCTATGTGGCAGCATCTCCGGGGACCCAACATAAAATCTCCATTTGTGAAAAATTACTTCTGAGCAGAGCAGAAAAGAAAATCTTGGAGCTGACAAATATATAATTACCAGAATGCAATATCATTCCTCCAAAAGGTACAAAGCTATATGTGCTGGAAAGTCTGCAAAATAAACTCAGCTGTATGAATTTTTGTGAGTTGTGCAAAAATGAACTCCATCACACATAGTAAGGGTAATTTAACATGGAACTTGAAAGGGGTTTTATATAACTTCAAAAATGTTCTCCTGACTCGAAAGTCAAAATATGCCATGACATTCCAGAGACTTCCATAATTTATGAGATCCACTCCATGATTTCCATCTCCTTGGTCATGATGATTTTGCCAGATGATAATGAGAATGTGCTGCATTCTTTCTGACGTCATTTGCCAGATATAAATATTTTTTTGCTTTGAAAACTCAATTAAGGCAGTATAATGTTCAATGCAACTGAAGATGGTACAGTACAAGTATAGCTTCTATTACATTGGCCTGTAATCATGACTATGGTAAAAGTGCTGAATGTTACATTTTAGTACTGGATAACAATAATACAGTATATAATCCTGAATAATTTCTCAAAGTTAAATTAGCTTAGAACAGTCATTAAATTGATGAAAATATATAAAAAATTGCAAACTTTAAAATGGCTTTCATATATGAGTCATATTTCAAAATCCTCATACATGAAAGCTCCAAAATAATATATAAACTTTTAGTTTACCTATACTATCCCTCAATAGTTCAAGATTGAGATTATTTAAGAGATACTTTTTATTTGGGAGGAACGTCCTATTTAACGTATCTCAAAACTTATTTCATTCAACTCACAATTGTATTTTGCTTTCTCAGTTCAATTTCATGCAGTTGAACCTCTTTAACTTGAATTTCAAGGGACCATTAAAAAATTAAACTTGAGGAGGTATTGACTTTTATGGAGGTTTTCGGAAAATACATGTTATTTAAGCTGTGGAACCAAGCATTTCTGTTGTGGGAAACATAGAAGAATTGCACTAAATTGTAAATTGTGATAATCTGGGCCTCAAATTTCTTCTAAAATGAGTTGAAAGGATGCTGAACTTTGAGGCAGGGGTTCATTGGCACAATTGAGCTTGTCACATCTTTTCAAAACTCATGAAATATAATTTGTGTTGCATTTTTTGTCCTGTGTCAAGAAATTATCGACCAAAAGGCCTCAGAAAATTTGACTTAAGAAGAGATTAAAGGAAAGGATTTTGAGTTAGGGAGGTTTTTCAATGCATTGTGTTTAAAAGAATTGAGACAGAGACTTTAAAAAATGGCTTATTTGGAAGGTACAGTATTTGACTCATCAAGGTTCAACTGTATTTTGGGTAGTTCAGGATTTTTAACTGATCCAATTATTCCAGCTAATTCAGTGCTCTAACTTAACTTGGTTCTTTTTTTAACTGAAAAAAGTATTCTTTTTGGGAAATTTTGCATTATTTTGATCTAGCTGTCTGTTACCTCAGTCAATTTACAAAAACATGTTGAGGTCATTGACTGTGTATATATAAACAAAAAAGAAAAATTACATCTTGAGTGAAACTTATTCTCATGCTCATATGTTACAATTTTCATTTGTACCCTTGTTTCAAGACTGAAAATGTAACTCATGATCAGAACTATGATATCATTGTTAATGAAAATGGACCCTCAGAGAAGTTGGAGTTGAAGATTCCTGCCTTATTGTGTGACAAATGGCAGCAGTGCAAAAATATCAGATTGCAGTGGTGCAAAATAATGGAAGAAAAGATTGAAAAGTTCCTGAATAAGATGCTGCCAGCTTCTTTTTTAAATTTGCAGTGCTAAGAATCAGTGGGTGCGGGTGTGCAAAAAAACCCTTTCCCAGTTTTGGAGAGAGATTGGTCAAGACTTTGGTCAAAAACACGGTTGTGATTCTTATTGTGAAGAACCTTAAAATGCAAACTTACACTCTCCTGCTTTTCAAGATTCATTTAAATTTTATATTTCCAAGTGATGAAATGTTTTAATCAGCTTTTGAATAAATTAGCATGCATTGTAGGAGCAATCTGTAAAAAGCTCCTAAAAGCCGCTTAATGACTATCAAATGTTTTTCCTTTCTTTTAGTTGGTTCTTATTTTTATTTTCACTTCACACTCTTTGTTGCCTTTATTTCACTCCATGACACTTTGGATTTCAAGATTATTGGAAGTCTTCAAAAGCTGAGAAGGTTTTTGATGCATTATTGTTGACTGATTTGAAAGAATCTGTCAACACAGGAAATGATGTATAAATTCTCTGAATAAAAAATTTTTTATAAGGAGATACTAGCTGCACATCATTGCATTCACAATGAATCTTTGTTTTTCCAAAAAAGGAATGGGCAAACAAATAATTCAGCTGGGAATATTTAGTCATCAAGATTTAATTCAAGGTATTCATTCCAGGATTCAAAATCTAAAGGCATCATGGTGATTTTGCAAATTTAAGTTCAGGATATATGCTGAATTATTTGGAGCTTATAATATTCTTTTCTTTTGTTCAATGATACCAATTGGAATAAAATGTTGAAAGTTTAATAAATGTATGACAAAGCACAATAGCAGGAATTTGTATGCCAGAAATTCCAACTGCCACATCCAATTTCATTCTTCTGCAGATGTTAGGTTTCTGCAAGAATGCACAATTCTTCTCTGAAATTGAGAATAACCTTTAAGCCAATGAAATTTAATATTAGAATGGTCATCAGCTGATGGTCATCTAAGCAGAATAGCATGGGACTAGGCTGAGGTATGATAACTATAGTTATTCAAGGACATCCAATGAATTTTAAATAAATGGTGCTCACTCAGGTTTTACTTTGTTATTGAGGAGCTGATACTTTTGCACCTTTTTTGCAATAACAAAATTTTGATTTTCCTCTCCAAATTGAATATCAGATCGTCATGCTGAGTTGGCATATTTTTTTTAGGGCAGCATAAAACTACACCTATTGCAGCATTGAAAACAGGTTCCATTCTTCCAGTTCCATCTTTTCCCTCAAAGTTGAATCTTGAAATTTTTTTGTCTAAGAGAAATATGTTACCTGAAGGGAGATGGACTGTCACTGTGGGCTTGCTTGCTGTGATATTATACATTGCCTACATAGTGGTGAAACCAATTTTGAAAGCTGTCTATCTTGCCATCTTTTGCCCAATCTTCTCCACAAAAAGTTTTGAGGTTGTGGACCAGCCTTACCCAACAGACAAGGAAAAGGATGATGTTTTGAATAAAGGTCAGTTGAATGATCCATTTTTTCATGGTGTTTTTAAAAGGTGTGTAATTTTTTTATTTTTGCACAGGTTTCAAGCCTGAAAGGGTGCCCCAGAACCTGGATGTAATTGTGATTGGAAGTGGACCCTCAGGTTTGAATGCTGCATATTTATTGGCCAAGGCTGGGAAAAAGGTCCTGGTGTTGGAGCAACATGACACAGTATGTATATAGTGTAGTGTAGGGGAACCTCTTAAAGGTTCCTTCAAAGACCAGTGAAGGTCAATTATTCTTGTTAACCTGATGATCTTCTGGAACAAGAGGTGGTTAACTTACTCTAAACCAAAAAGAGAGAATAAACTCATAATCTCAACTACTGGTGGCAGCGGTTCCCTTTCAAGTAACAATTCTATTACTATCTCAATTACTATAGGACTAATGATCATGATCTTCATCTTGATTGTAAGTGCTCATGTGTCACATTAAATGTGTATGTGAACAGGCTGGGGGATCCATGCATACATTTATAGAGCATGGGTATGAGTTTGACTCAGGACACCACATCTCTGTTAATGTTGGAAAGGATGGCATTGCTGGTCTTTGTCTAAATGTACTTTTGGATGGAAAAGTGGAATTTGTCCCTACAAGTGAGTATATAAACCAGTAGTGCACAATATGTAACCATATTGAAGCATGGTTGTGCAATTTGAAAATAGAGAAATACAGAGATGAGATTGTGGTTGGCTCACCAAGGAATCCCAAAGATGGAGTAAGAAGATATCTTTTTGAAGCTGAAACTGTGGACCAGTGGAAACACTCCATGCTGAAGTATTTTCCTGGGGAAGGGGAGTTTTTCTCTGGGTAAGAGATTTTTAATCTAATCTTGTATAATTGACTTAGAATCATATTTTGAGCAAAATGCTTGAACTATCTTCCTGAACAATGCATATGGAATAATGAGATTATTGTACAGTTCCAGCAGCAATAGGTATAAAAAAATCTCTCTCAATCAAGTTCCCTCAACAATGTCAACTTTTTTCAGGTCCCCATCTTGAATTTTCTAGACTAATGTATTAAAGACCTCACAAACTTGACTCTTCCTTTTCAAGTTGGAGGAATTCTTTCCTTCTGGATATCAAAATAGCTTCATGTTCTCCTATACAAGGAAGTTGCAGTCTTCAAATTCAGCTTCCTGTCACCTACCTTCAGAAAAACCCAGCCCACAAAAATATCAAATTCCTGCTTCCAGTGATTTTTCATTTTCATTTTTCCAGAATAAATATTTTATTTTTAACCCTAAACCTTCCTGAGTTATATTTTAAACCAGTCCCTTTAAGTATAACTCCAAGAGGATTGACTGTGATTGGGTATTTGACAGTACTGTACATTCAAAAACCTATAGATCCAAAGTATTTTGTCAGTCTCATAGTTCTGAGTGTGAATAAGGAGAAGAAGCATGTTTTGCAAATCCTCTCAGACAAGATACTGCACTAGTCTGACACCCATTGTTTCAAAAGGTTGGTCAGTGATGTGAAAAGGAGTGTGCCCACATTTCTGCCATTTATCATAGTCAAGCTCCTTCCCAAATGGCTGGCATTGCTTTTGATCAAGCTGAGGTTCTTTGACATCTTCACAAATTATCCAAAGCACAACAGTATCTCTACAAAAGAAATGTTCCAAGTGAGTAAAAAATTAAATTCATTATTTGACTCTAGTTCAGCAGAGTATATTTTTGTTTTTCTTGCAGAAAGTGAGTAAAAAACATCCTGACTTGCCTTTTGTCCTCAACCCTTATGTCTTGGACCTGAATGTTGCTGCAGATGAGTTTCCATATTCTCTTTGGACTCTCTCTCAAAAGATATTTTGTGAAGGTTGGATAACACACAACTACTTGCATTATGTCTCATTATTTTGATATCTTATTCAACTTACTTTTTTCAGGCCCTTATTACCCTATTGGTGGTACATCAAAAATGGCTTATTATGCTGCCAAAAATGTGAAGGATGCTGGGGGAGAGATTCTAGTAAGAGCAAAAGTTGTCAAAATCATTACCCAAGGTCAAAGAGCTATTGGAGTCACTGTGCAAAAAGGCTCAACCACTACAGATGTGTTTGCACCCATAATCATATCTTCAGCTGGTTAGCATTGTCAAAATCTTGAAATTTAATATAGAATTTTGAAAAAAACTTATTTTTTGCATGCAGGCATTGAAATCACCTTCAAACACTTACTGCCAAGAGCCATATCTGATACTTCAGAGTGGTACAAAGATGCTAAACCTTTTATGAACAAACCCACTGCCTACTATCAGCTATTTGTTGGGTTGAACAAGACTGCAGAGGAACTTGATTTGCCATGGCAACCCATCAGATGTTTCACCACAACCAAGGAATGTGGAGAGGTAAATAAACTTTCTATGATCATTACCTCATCCAATTTTGTGTTATTGCTTTATATTTAACACAAATAGGTTTTCAATGAGTATCTGTCCCTATCTCTGGAAGAGGCACTGGAGGTAGACATTCCTGTGATGGCCCTTTTCTTCAATTCTACAAAGGATCCCACATTCAATGACAGGCATCCAGGTTTATTTGCATTCACAAAATTTAGCTGATGCACAGTAGAGAATGTTTGATGCATTGCAGGAAAATCCACCCTTGAAATCTTCACAATTGCAAACAATGACTGGTTCAATAAGTGGCAACCCTTGCCTATAAAAAAGAGAGGTGATGAGTATGATGAACTGAAGAAAGCATTTGGTCAAAAGATTTTGGATCAGGCCTTGGAAATTTGTCCTCAACTAAAGGTGACATACAGTCTATAGTCAAAGTCAATTAGACCATTGTACTCATTCATGTATATTCATTACAGGATCATGTGGACTGCATTGTTTATGGTACAAGTGCTTCTGCCAACTACTACTTCAACAGGATTGCTGGAGGTGGAACCAAATTGGACAACACAAGAGCAAGAATGTCCCTGGAAGCATCTGCCAAAATGAGGACTGATACTGGAATTCCAGGTTTTCATCATGTTTAGAAAAATCATTCAA